CCCAGCACTTTGGGAGGCTGAGGTAGGAGGATCACTTGACATCAGGAGTTCGAGGCCAGCCTGGCAAACATGGTGAAACCCCATCGGTGAACCCATTTCTACTAAATAAATACAAAGATTACCAGGCGTGGTGGCCACGTGCCTGTAATCCAGCACTCGGGAAGCTGAGGGCAGGAGAATCCACTTGAACTCAGGAGGCGGAGATTGCCAGTGAGCCGAGATCGCACCACTGCACTCCAGCCCTGGGCAACAGAGTGAGACTTCATCTCAAAAAAAAAAAAAATGAATTGAAACTGCTGTAGTTGTTGCTATAGGGCACTGTTAACTACAATGCCTGTTTTTTCCCTAAAGCCGTTCAATAAGAAAAATTCACAAGCATCTCTCACTTTTAATGTACACTACAAAAAATGCTAATATGTATATATTTAAACCCCATGGGAACTTCAAAGAAATGACTGAAGCTGTGGAATCTCTATCAAAGTGCAAGCCAGGTTGTCGAATGGTTTTGTTTCTGCCTTTTGCCAGAAAACTGTCAGACTCACAGACTTATATTATAACGAAGTGATTCAGGTCCACTCACACTGGTGAAAGAAACCACAGCTAAGTTAAAAGAAAAACTAGGCACGCCGCGGCTCCGGTGGCTCAAGCCTGTACCCAAGCACGTCTGGGCAGGCCGAGAACAAACGGCCGCGGATTCAAGGTCAGGAGATCGAGAGCCCATCCTGGGCTAACAGGGTGAAAACCCCGTCTCTACTAAAATAACAAAAAAAAAAAAACACTACGCCGGGCGGGTGGCGGGCGCCTGTAGTCCCAGGCTACTCAACGAGGCCTGAGGCAGGAGAATGCGCAAACCCCGGGAGGCGGAGCTTGCCCGTGAGCACCTGACGATCCGGGCCACTGCACTCCAGCCCCCGGCTACAAGCAAGACTCCCGTCTCAAAAAAAACAAAAGAAAAACTACAATTATGAATGTGTCTGGAAAGAACTACACATCCGATTTGACTCTGGGTGCGACGCATACACAAAGTAGAACAAAAATTTTAAAATGGTAAATCTCCCAACAAAGGCAATGAACGAAAAATTCTCCTAAAAAAACCCAATAGCTGGGAAAAAATAACGTTTCCATCTACTGTCCTTACAAAACACACGAAAAGAGAAAAACTTTTCCTTTGTTTCCTTTTTTGAGCCTGGAGGCTCTTTGCTTCTCGCACCAGGCTCGGAGTCGCAAGTGGCCGGTGCATCTCGGCTCCACTGCCAAGCTCCCGCTCCCTGGTTCACCGCATTCTCCTGCCTCAGTCCCTCCGAGTAGCTGGGACTACCAGGCACCCGCCACCCTCCGCCCGATATTTTTTGCATATTCTTTAGCAGAGACGGGGCTTTCAGCCCGTGTTAGCCAGGATGGTCTCGATCTCCTGACCTTGTGATCGGCCTGCCGTTGGCTCCCAACAGTGGCTGGGATTCACAGGCGTGAGCCACCGCCGCCCGGCGGAAAAGGACAAGTCCTTATACTCAAATCTTTCAAAACATGTTACCCGAAAAAACCGCCGGTGGTTCTCCAAGAGGGAAGGTAGTGTAGCTCCTAGCCTTGTCTCCCACGCTAGCAACGTCACAACAAAGAAAACGCCAGTGGAAAACCCAAGCACCCAGCGGTTCATGGCCTGTAATCCCAACACCTTTGGGAGGGTTGAAGTAGGAGATGGCCTGGACCCGGAGTCCCCGAGACCCAGCTGAGCAATCATCGCTGAGACCTAAACATCTCTACACACAAAATCTACAAAAATTAGCCGGGCGCCTGTGGCAACAGGAAGTTTATACGTGCTTGACTATCGGGAGGCGAGGTCTTGAGCAAGAAAACAACAATAACAACAAAACAACAACAAATAGAGGTTTCCAAAAGCACAAAAATAAAAGAACACCATATTTCTCAAGGACAATAAAAAAAAACCCAC